CAAATCCTGCTTCAATGAGACAAAAAACTTTAGCAATTTCTTTTGTCATAAACATTCTTGGCTCTGTATCTTCTGATTGATTCTTTGTGTTCTTGTGTTTCTATCATCTGCTTCTCTTATCTATGAAACTAGTTGTAAGTATACCACAGGTGTGTTTGTTCACATGCATGGGAGAAACCAGTAACTTATTAATTTACTCATTTAATTATAGTTTCCTTATGTGGAGCATTGGGAACCCATTCATAAGTACAGAATACCTTAAATCGCTCATTTGTAACCCAGGGACTGACTACATACACAGATCTGCTGTGCTTTTTAATGAGATACATTTCAACATTATTATTCCTTGCCATCCCAATATCAGATATTTATTTACATAGTTTTTACTTGTTTTTGTTTTACTTGTGTTTTGTTTTAAGTAAAACTTTAATCAGGTTACTTGTAAAACCTGATTAAGATCAGGATCTTAATCCTTGATCTCTGAACTGAAACTATGACAACCTATTTGTGGACTTTATTTAATTAGGTGCAAATTTTGCGTAAGCATTTTTCAGGGGAGAGTATCAGATGGATGTATCATATTCTTTAGAGGTCATTGATTGTAACAAAAACAATCACTATTCCAAATATTTTGTGGTTGATATTGAAGTCTTAATTAATCTGGAAATTTTTGTATACATGTTAAGGTCAGATTCTATTTTATTCCATATATTTAAAACCTTTAATTTACAAGCACATCTATCAATCTTTTATCCTTTTGCTTTTACAGGTATACTCAGAAATACTCTGGGTTCAGCTTCAGACCACTACAATAAAATGAATTTGAAAGAAGTCACACAAATTTTTGGTTTCCTAGTGCACATAAACATTATGTTTACACTATATTGTAGTCTATTAAGTGTGCAATAGAATTATATATTTTAAAGTACATAACTTAATAAAAAAATACTTAATTGCTAAAAAATGCTAATGATCATCTAAACCTTTAGTGAGTTATGATCATTTTTGCTAATGGAGGGTCTTTCCTTGATGTTATTGGCTGCCAACTGATCAGGGTGGTAGGTGCGGTAGGCTGGGGTGGCTCTGGGCATTTCTTAGAGTAAGACAACAATGATGCTTACCATAGTAATAACTATTTTTTTCACAAAAGATTTTTCTGTAACATGCGATGCTGTTTGCTAACATTTTACCCACAGTGCAAGTTCTTTCAAAGTTGAAGCCATTCCTTTCAAATTCTGTCATTGCTTTACCAACTAAGTTTATGGAGTATTTATTAATAAATACTTTGTCATTTCAACAGTGTTCACAGCATCTTCACCAAGAGTAAATTCTATATTAAGAAACCACTTTCTTTGCTCATTCATTAGAAGAAACTTCTCATCCCTTCAAGTTTCATCATGAGATTGCAGCAATTACATCACATTTTCAGGCTCCACTTCTAATTCCACTTCTCTTGCTATTTCCACTACATCTGTAGCTATTTCTTCCACTGAAGTCTTGAAACCCTCAAAGTCCTCCATGAAGATTGGAATCAGCATCCTCCAAACTCTTGTTAAAGTTGATATTTTGACCCTCTCCCATGAATCACAAATGTTCTTAACAGCATCAAGAATAGTGAATCATTTCAAGAAGGTTTTTGAATTATTTTGCCCAGATCCATCAGAGGAAGATATATTATGGAAGCTAAAGCTTTATGAAGTGTATTTCTTAAATAATAAGATGTGAAAGTGAAAATTACTTCTTGATCTATGTGCTGTAGAATGGGCATTGTGTTAGCAGGCGTATAAATAATATTATTCTCCATGTACCTCTCCATCAGAGTTCTTAGGGGACTAGGTGCATTGTCAATGAGCACTAATATTTTGAAATAAATCTTTTCTTCTTTGCAGTAGGTCTCAACAGTGGGCTTAAAATATTCAGCAAACCATGCTATAGACAAATATGCTGTCATTCAGATTTTTTTTTATTTACACAGCATAGGCAATGTCAATGTAACATAATTCTTAAAAGGCATAAGATTTTCAGAATGGTAAATTGAGCATTGGCTTCAACTAAAAGTCACCAGCTGCATTAGCCCCCAAGGAGAAAGTCAGCCTGTCTTTAGAAATCTTGAAGCCAGGCATTGACTTCCTTCTAGCAACAAAAGTCCTAGATTCTATTTTCTTCCAACATAAGGCTGTTTAGGCTGTTTTGTCTTGAAAAATAAGTTGTTTATTGTAGACACCTTCATCAGTGATCTAAATCTTCTAGATAACTTACTACAGCTACGACATTAGCATTTTCTGCTTCAATTTGTACCTTTATATTATAGAGATAGCTTCTTTCCTTTAATTTCATGAATTAATCTCTGTTAGATTCCAACTTTTCTTCTGCAGCTTCCTCACTTTCTCAGCCTTCATAGAATCAAAGAAAGAAAGGGCCTGACTCTGGGTTAGCCTTTGTCTTAAGAGAATAGTGTGGTTAGTTTCATCTTCTATTTAGACCACTAGAACTTTCCCCATATCCACAATAAGGCTGTTTCACTTTCTAATCATTTGAATCTTCACTTGAGTAGCACTTTTAACTCTCTTCAGAAATTTTCCCTTTGCATTCACAACTTGGCAAACTGTTTAGCATAGGCTTTTGTCCTCTCTTGGTTTTCAACATGCCTTCCTCACCAAAATTAATCTTTTCTAGCTTTTGATTTAAAATGAGAGAGGTGTGACTATTCCTTTTATGTGAACACTTACAGGGTATTGAAGGATTATTAACTGGCCAAATTTTGATATTGTTGTGTTTCAAGGAATAAGCAGGCCCAAGGCGAGGGACAAAAATAGTGGAAGGACCAGTCAGTAGAACAATCAGAACACACATATTTATTGGTTAAGTTTGTGGTCTTATATGGGTATACCTCATGGTTCCCCAAAACACTTACAAGGTGTAAATTAGGAAACTCTTATTTAAAGAAGAGGAGAAATAAAACAAGCATCTTATTATAATTTTTAAAATAGTTTCAAGTTCAGCTCTGAGGTTCTTAGAAAACTAAAGAAGTATAATTAATTTCAAGAGTCAAGATAAAATCATGTAGTCTTAGACCTGAGAAATTATCTTCTGTTATTTCCTAAGCATAAACATTAAATTATAAAGACTTGCCCTGACTCTCTGTAACTAGTCTTGTGAAAGTATCCTGGGCCAGGCGTGGTGACTCATACCTATAATCCTAGTACTTTGTGAGGCCAAATCTGGAAGATTACTGGGGGTCATGAGTTAATGACCAGCCTGAGCAACATAGCAAAACTTGCCTCTACAAAAAAATTCAAAACTTAGCCAGATGTGATGGCATGACCCTGTAGTCCCAGCTACTTGGGAGGCTGAGGCAAGAGGATTGCTTGAGTTCAGGAGTTCGAGTTGCAGTGAGCATGACGATACCATTACATTCCAGCCTGGGCAATAGAGTGAGACTCTGTCTCAAAAAAGAAAAAGAAGGAAGGATGGAAGGAGGGAGGGAAGTAGAAAAGGGAAGGAAGGGAGAGAGAGAGGGAGGGAGGAAGGGAGGGAAAGAAAGAGAGAGAGAAAGAAAGGAAGAAAGAAAAGAAAGGAAGAAAGGAAGAAAGAAGGAAGAAGGAAGAAAGGAAGGAGAAGGAAGAAGGAAGGAAGGAAGAAAAGAGGAAGAAGAAGGAAGGGAGGAGAGGAGGGAAGGAGGGAGGAGAGGGAGGGAGGGAGGGAGGGAGGAAGGACGGACAAGAAGGATCCTGGTAATAACAGAAAGTGAGGATCCTTTTAAGGGTGATAAAGAGGAAGAGAGAAGATTATTCTAAGTAAGAAAATATGAGAGGTTGTAAAGCAAAGGAAAGAGAACACTAGCACCTGACAGAAGTTTGGGATAAGATATAAATAATCAGGAGAGCAGCTGCAATTATTATATAGGGAGCAAAATAAAGAGCGATGAGGAAAGATACTTTTAAGAAAGTTTCCATCTGTACTTTACAATGCACTTTCCACCTTTTGAAAAAAGCTGGCTCCTCTGAAACCCATAGGGCTTTTGGACCCAGGCTTTGGGGTGGAGTGATTGTTTACATCAAACCACCTTAAATTCAGATTTGAATGTATAAGATAAAGATAGTTCAGTTACATGGAATCCATCCTTAATGTAAAATGCTATATTAGTTAGCCTGGGCAACTTTCTTTCCCAATGGCTCCTTGATCCTGCTTTGAAAGAAAGAAGCAGCATTTCCTTCATTCATCCCCTTGGGAGATTTTTAATAAAATGGACAATGAATGGACAGTAGAAGAAATTAGAGGCCAGCTAATGACATATCAGATAATGAACCCTGGATATTCTAAAATTGCTTACATAAAGCAAGCTCATTTGGTAACTATTATATATTATCATAAATATACTTAAACCTTTGGATGCATTAGTTTATATTCAAAATATTATAGAGGTTTTAATCCTTTTAAGTACCATATATATAGTATGGAAAATAATAAATTACAAAAAGTTTATAAAGCCACTAAAAACATTTTAAATATTTTCTTTTATTTTCTTTCAGTGTTTTTCTATGCATCTATACTTGGTAAAATTTCTAGATGCATACTTGTAGTGACAAGATCTATCTTTGACTGAACTATCTTTAAGCCTTCTAGGCCTTGCCATTCATTGTTCATCCCTGTCTGGTCTTCCTCACTCAGATTTAACAAGGATCTTGCTAACTCAATTTAGCGAGATTTCTCTACCCTCAATACCTGCTTCTATTTCTGGTCAAATTCCTTACCTCTCACTACCCTCTTGTGATATCTGATCACCCTAACCTGCCTTCACTAAGGATCCTATTGAGTCCATTTAACCAGAATCTCCTTTTGCCTCCTATGTTTCTCCTTAATATCCATAATTAAATAAATTTTCAAACATTAAAAACATCTTATACAAAATTAAGTTCAGATAAAATTTATGTTCCAGAGTATTTAATCATATTTAGCTCTTGGCTCTCTGAACACCTGGCCTATCTTCTTTTAGATGGGCTCAAAAGAAGAGATACAATGGATAGAAGTAGACATGAGAAATGGAGAAAAATGGAGAAATCAAGGAATGTGCAGAAGGACCTATTTCAGGTAATTAGATAATTTGTAGAAATTAAAAACAGAGCAGTTTATAGTTAGCTTTTATTATTTAGTTTTAGTTCCCTGAACATATGAAAACATAGTATTATTAAATTTATTGAAAGCTATATTTTTATTTTATTTTTCCTAGTATCTTGAAATGTGTATTTTCTAATTAATAGTTAAATTTTATTTCATCCTGATTACATTTTTTCTATTACTATTTTCTTAAAGAATTTTAATTTCAGTTCAATACATCTCATATCCTCATATTATTAATCCCAAATGAATTTATTCTATAACCAGTATTTAAATCTATGTTTATTTATAAAATATGAATATAATTCAGCCTTACTGGTTTGAGAAGATAATAATGGTAAATCAGTGGGAAAAGATTTTATACTTTCTGCAAATACAGTCACGATATTTTCCCAAGGTGATATGCATACATCATGCTTAATGTCAATCACTAATATCTCCAATGCACCAAACATTATGCAACAATCCTGGTGCCATATGGAATGTTTGTACTCTGTAGATCCAGAACAACATGAGAAAAGTTCTGTTTATATTGTTTTTTTCTGAACTCCTTTAAAAGCATAAAGAAATATTTAATCAACAGGAGTATAAATAAATATATTAAAGTACAATCTATACTTCATAAAAAGAGGTGGATTTGGTTAGTTTGTGTCCTGAAAATGTTATTTATTTTATAATTTCATGGTAGACTAATATTGTCCATACTGATTTTCTCCTCTCCCTTGGAGATAATTTTATATTCTATCTGAAAGGATAAAAGACTTGACCATATGGATTGCTTTAGCAATGAAAGGAAGTGATGTGTGCCACCTCTGGGCATACAAGCTTTAAGAGCTGATATTCCTTTTCCTTTCAGTTTGTATCTCAGATTAAAGAATATGTGGGGCAGAGCCATGACTAACTCTTAATAGGTATGTGGCTTGATTGAATCTTTATTGTTTCAAGTCACTAAGTTTTTCATATTGTATTTATTACAGAAAAACATAAGTTACTGTGAATTATGGTCATATTTATGTATTCTATCCTCTCAACTTTCCCCTCATGGGTCCAACCTTCTCATATTCTCCACTTAAGTAATTTATCCATGAATAGGAACTCTGAGATGTGCCTAGTGTTAAACACCATAACAAGAAGCCTCCAAAGTTAACACTGAAAGAACTGAGTTAAATGGAGATGGTGTTTTAAATATGCACTGTAGAGTATAAATATGTACCGAATAATTTCCATCCCCCAAATCATAACTTTTGGTCCTTAACTGATGACTTTATGTTTGCTACTTAAACTGATACTCATATTTCTGTTGATTGTTTTTGTTTTATATTTAAAATGTTTAAGCACCTAACAAGTGAAAGATGCTAAAATAACATGCATTATATACATTACTTTTTAAAACCCTCGTATGACCCCATCAAGTAGATATAGTGCATCTATTAAGCATATTATAGAAATGAAGACATAGAATCTGCTATTTTCCTTTTAATCTCCAATCAGAATATTATTCATTACTGTCATAAGACTCATCACAACTGTACTAAGTCATCCTGATATGTTTGTTTTTTTTTCTGCGAGACTATGAGCTTCAATTAGATAGATCCTGATAATTTTAAGTGTTCAATTTCTGTTTGCTGCATGAGTGAATGTAATGAGCATGCAACTAATTTGCCAAATGTGCTCAGATTTATAAGTGATATAAAATGGGTTTGAAACTCGGTCTGACTCAATCCTCTTTGTATATTGTCTGCCTTTGATGTCTTTATTGCTTAAGGATTAGATATTGACATACTGGCCATAATTTCATAAGGGAATTTGATATCAGACAACCTCTTGCTTTCACTGGATAATGTTGATCTAACTTGAAATTTCAGAGAGAAAGAACCTATTCAATGAGACAGAACCATTAAACAAAGTGTCATTTTACACTTCCATTATTTTAAGTGGGCATGTACTCTTCCAAATTTCATAATGGGAAACATTTTATAAATTTATTTATGTCAACTTGTTGGTAACTTAAGGCAACATAATAACTATCAATAAGTATGCACTTCTTAATAGAAAAGTATCTTAATCAATGTAAATTGATTTTGAAGAACTTCAGACATATATGGACTGTTTGATTTGTGAAAATAAAGCTTCCAAATTATCCTGAAATTATACAGCAAGAAAAAGTATATATTTTGTTTTGCTTTGTGTTTTGTTCCTTCCATTATCGTATCTAATATGAGGGAAGAATGCAACCTAAAGGATTGAATTTAGGATATCAATTTTTCATGTGAAACTTCTAATTTTTAAAGACTGTCACTAAGCCTTCTTTTTATAATCACAGTTTACAGGTTTTTACATGACTAAATAGCATTTATTTTGTCATTTGGACTTACAAATTCTGACCTAGAATTGTAGATTTTTTAATACTTAGGGCTATATCATTAGTTAAGGCTTTATGTGAGGTCTAATCATATTCAGCTTCATTCGATCACAACTGTCAAATATACATTGATATAGAGAAATATAAGACATATCACATATACTACATTAGAAAGTTATTTTTACTTATATGTGGATTAATAAGGGATAAGACAGAAGCAATTAGACTCTAAAATCTGCTATGGAATTTATTTTCATAAATCCATCTAAGAGCATATATTTAAATTAGAGGTATGACAAGTCTGACACACTGTTGGAAAATGAATTCTATTGGGTTGGCAATTGATTAATCTAGTTTCTGCAGTATCCCCCAAAAGAGTGTACGACACATAAATGCTCAATAAGTATTTGTTGAAAGAATGAACAAAATAGGTGATTACTTATGAAGGTTATTATTTTATGTGGCAATCAAGTTGCCTTGTGCAAACAAGGAAGAAAAATGCTTCAAGACACTGAAATTAACAAAGATTAAAAAATAAAGGTGAGAAAAATAATTTAAAGTTCAAGAAGCAGTTAAGACAGGTTGTGCAATTGAAACTTGGGGTGCAAATAGAAGCATGGCACTTCTATAGAAGATGCTAAAAAGATAGCATCTAAATGCTCCTTGTAAGTGGATGTCGTGAGGGGGATCTTAAGGCAAGAACCAGTGGGAGGGGTTATATTGAGGTATTCGGCACTGGAAAAACTCAAAGAGTGAAATGTATCCAAAACAGAGGATACTGCAAAATGCTGGGGAGGACATTAAAAATTCCAAAGATTGAAAGGCAGAGTCAGAATCAAGTTGGGAATCAGGGCAAGATTTCAAGAAAGAAACAAAGATGGTGGAGGGATAAGAACAGTCTAGGAAAAGGTAAGAAATGTTTAGATCAAATGCCAAAAAATAGCATGAGAGATTTCATAGTTTACGCTGTTGGTTGTTAAAGCAGTAAAGGTCAGATATCAAGGGCCAGATTATGAAATATTTTGTGGCCACGCTATGGAATTTGGACTTTATCTGGAAGGCTATAGGGAGCTCTTGGAGAATTTTTAGCTGGGGAATGTCATGATTTTTTGTATGTTTTATAAATGTCACTCTAACAGCTGTGCAGAGCATGTAATTGAGAATGGTAATAAACTTAGAGAACTGAATTTAGACTTTCCTGCAGTAATTAAATTAAACCTTTTTAATGAACAAAAATGCTATTAAAATCCAGATCAATATATAAAACTTAATCAATAAAAAGCACAAGAATCCTTGCTATAGAAATCAAAGCAATGGGATTGTTAATGTAAGCAATTTCATTGTGCATTTAAAACCAGTAATGCATATAATAAACTTGTTCTATCTTTGTCTTATCCTAACTCCAGCTCTGATTTACAAATTGCTTTCAAACTGTAAGCAAAATTACTACCATGAATGGTGGTCTGAGAATTTGTTCCACAGATATTCAAGCCCTTCCATTATGCATATATTTTCAACTTATGCTTATATAATTGTTGTGTGAAGGACTCCAAAACATTCATGGATAGACAGACTCATTTTGAAAATTACTGAGTTTTTTTTGTTTGTTTGTTTTTATTAACACAGAAATGACATCCTTTTCTTTTCATCCATTGTTTCAGTTCTTGGGCTAGGGTTCAAAAACACTACAAATGAATCTGCTGCTGATTTCTTCAAAGAAGATGAAATACTTATTTTTATTTTGAAATAATGCCTGCTGTTTAACAGCCCGTTGGTGACCTGCATATTTAAATATTTAAGCAATAATTCTCAGTCACTATGTACAATATTAACAGAAGGAATGATGAAGTTAGGTGAAAAAGAGTGTTTATGGCTGACAAACAATACAATTTTCGTAAAGAGTTTTGCAGTGGAGAAACAAGGGTTCATGCTGATGTCAACAAATCTTAACTAAAAGTCTATTACATTTACTACTTCTTCAACCCTATAAGGAAATGTGATATTATAACATGTTCCACTTAGACAGGAAACTGATATGAGCCAGTATCCTTTGGCTATGTTATGTAAAAAATAGAAATATAGCTCCTACCTTTCAAAGTTAGTATTTTACCCTCTTTTTTTCTAAATAAAACAATTACAAAAGTTTCATTCCTATTCAAGACAATAGCCCATTTTTTTTCTTAGGCTAAACTAATCTAAATACAAAATAAATCTATGAAAGTATATTAAGTAAACTTGGTATTATAAAGTAAATGAAATATTATATACATGTCATCATTGCAGCTCTTATTTGTATCTTAACTTCAACCATTAGAAACCTCTTTGTATATTGTGAAAAGAAGAATGGACCTCATGTTCAAAGCTAAAAATTAGAATTGCTACCATACCTTTTCCATGAAATCAATATGTGAATTTGTCAGGGGTGTTGTTAAAGACGCATTAGTCCTTGTCTGAATGCAGAGTTAAATAAGGCCACAGCTTGCTCATTCTAATTGCCTCTGTCAGAAAAAGCAATAATTACCCACTTTGAGAAATTTTTTAAAAAGTTCACATTTATAAAACTTAATTCACTTTTCAATAGAAATCTACAGTAAATTGAAACTATTTCATT